TGCCTGTTTATAGGGAGGGTGATAGTGCACGTGATCAGAGCCAGCTGGGTTTGTGTGGGCTACTCAGGTTCCCCATACTCCCAGGGCCTTAGTCTTCTCTGCGGGGGGGGGGGGGGGGGGGGGGGGATGGGGGAATATGTAGATACCTACCTGGTGGGGTTCCTTTGGAAACTAATAAAGACAGTTAATTATGGGTAAAACCAAACCATATGAAATCACCAGCATTGGAATCCTTTTTTTTTTTTTTTTTTTTTAAACAATAAGCACATATTGTGCTGTGGGAGTAGTGATTCAGGGAGTCCTGATTCATTTCTCCTGATGGCTGCACTCTGCAAAACTGTGGTATGTCACAGCCCAGATGTTGACATGGAGAACGTCCATCAGTCTGGTTCAGATGTGAGAACGCACGTGTATGCCATGCTGCAGTGTCATTGTGTCACACAGAAACGTCATATACCTGGAATCCTGGAAACGTAACTTTTTAGGATTGCCAAAGTAGGATTACAGCAGTCCCTCTCTGCTGGGTGATTGTGCCCTACGGGGGACCTGGGATATAGGCTGGAGACACTGTTGATGGTCATGGCATCATGTGGGCCCTCTTGGCTCTGGCCCCAAATGTCTGAGGCCCTAGATTGAGAAGTGTTACAGTGGAGGCACCTCTGAGCTCCAGATTGAGCTCGGTTCGCCTGAGAGCACCCAGATCTGTTGCCTTTTCCTTTGTCCCACCTTCTATTTGCCAAGCAGAGTATGGTGTGAGGGTAGCTCACTCCTTTACCTCTTCCCTGACGGGGCCCTGGGCCAACCTGCTTCACACTCTCCTGCACAGGACACTGGCCTTGAGTGGCCAAGTGTCCTGGAGTCGGCTCTGAGCACTTTGCTGCTCTGATCCTGTGAGTATCAGGGCCTCCTTTGCTGGCGCCTGTCGCCCCATGCCTCAGGCAGCCCATCGTGTCTGACCCCTCTCTGTGTCTGAGCTTGCTGAAGATGCCTGTGTCAACCCTGTGGGAGCTGACTCCAGGGCACTTGGGGAAGAGACTTAGGAGACACTTGGTGCTTAGGCTGTTTGCATGTGACACCACCTGGAACCCACCCAGATCTCAGGGTTAATGGTCTGTGCTGGTTCAGCCAGGCAGTGTTCCCTGTACTGAGCATCCACAGCTGGCGGAAAGTTTGGGTGTGAACTCACCAGCCCAATTCATACTAAAAAGTGTTGTGATGCTGCATGAGATTGTGACAGAGCCTGGCATGGTGGCACAGCCCTGTCATCCCAGCTGCCTGGGAGGCTGAGGCAAAAGGAGCTCAAGTTTGAAGTCAGCCTGGGCAAGACCCTGTCTCAAAAATAAAATAATGTGGAGGGGGACACTGGGGAAAAAAATAAAAACAATTGTGTCTGTCAGTGTTTAGAGACCTGTGGGGCAAGGCTGGGCAGTAGGACCAGTCTTCACTAATTTGGGCTCTTTGTGTAGAGGAAAGTGGAAAAGCAGAAGAGGGAGGCAGGTGCCTTGATCACTGTCCAGTGCTTTCAGAGCCAGAGAGCAATGTGTGGATCTGAAAGACCCTGTGCAGGCCAGCTGAAGATGTCTGGGTCTCTTGGTGTGGATTGAAATCAAATTCCTGTGGGTAACTATACTGCTCATCTTATGCTGAGCAGAAATTGTGGTCAGCAGTTAGTGGTCTTTGATTAGTAAAAATGGACATGAACTGAAATCTATGTCTTGGGGCTGCAGTGGGAGAGAAAAGGGAGAGTTAGTGAGAGCATTAGTTAGTTCTCCAGGACTTCTTTACCCCTGAAGAGCAATTGAGCCTGCCAGGCCTCTTCCGGGGCTGTGATTCCATGTCACAGGGTGGGTGGCCTGTGCTCACCATCATGGCCTGGAGCACTGAAGCAGCATTCCCTCAGGCAGCAGAGAGAGGAGAGCTGGTTTCTAACATCAGTATGCAGAAGCATAATAAGGTTGGTCAGCTTGAGTGTCACTTAAAAAAAAATATATATATATATATTTAGATGTTGATGGACCCTCACTTTATCTATCTATCTATATCTATCTATCTATCTATCTATCTATCTATCTATCTATCTATCTATCTATCTATCTATCTGGGGGTTGCTGAGGATGAAACCCAGTGCCTCACACATGCTAGGCAAGTGCTCTACCATGAAGCCACAAACCCAGCCCAAATGTCACATATTTTTTTGGCATATTTTAAAAAGTTTTTCTCCACCCCTGACTTGGTACATAATCCATTAAAGGAATTGATGAGATATGATAGACAGAAAGTTAGATTTTAAAATCTTGGATTGTTCCACTCCTTGAGATAACCACCATTCAGGTTAAAGATGTCTCCTGGCTTTTTTCAGGAATCTGTGACATTCTCCTGCACCTGTAGCATTTGGCAAACTGGTCACTGGTCTCCACAGGAAGGTTGAAAAGCTTAGCTACACACTTGCTGCTTCTCACGGAAACGGAAACCAGAGGTGTGGTGATTGGAAGCTGCTTATTCATGTCTGTGTTACTAGCTCTTGAGGTTAGAGCAGCTTTGAGAAATTCTGCACCAGTTGTGAGGACAGAACAACTCTCTGCACGCCCTGCAGAGTAGGTATTCTGTTGAGGCCAGCCCCTCTTGCCTGTGGGTTTCCTGCTGATTGAGTTGGATGGTCTCCCTTCTGGCCTCCTGCTGCCCCGTTTGTGCTGGTTGGTTTTATTCTTGAAGTTCTCAGAGCTTTCTGGGCAGATTATTCAGGTTTTTTAAAAAATATTTTTGTAGTTGTAGATGGACTGCATGCCTTTGTTTATTTTTGTATATACTGTTAAGGATCAAACCTGGTGCCTCACACCTACTAGGCAAGCACTCTGCCACTGTGCCCCAGCCCAGATTATGCAGTTTTTGGTTAATCAGTTTTCTTCATGATTTTTTTTAAAGTTGCCAGTGGCCCTTTATTTAATTAATTTATTTATATATTTATATGTGGTGCTGAGGATCGAACCCAGTGCCTCCACACATGCTAGGCAAGCACTCTACCATGAGCCACAACCCCAGCCCCTAAAACAATATGCTACTTAAATTTAAAATTAGCTTTAAAAAGCATTCTTATTGGCAATGTTAGTGTGTTCATCATATGCCAAGACTACAGTAGTTACTTGATTTATTAGGTTTGGAAATTTTGAAACCCGGGCTGGGATTGTGGCTCAGCGGTAGAGCACTCGCCTAGCATGGGCGGGACCCAGGTTCGATCCTCAGCATCACATGAAAATAAAGGCATTGTGTTGTGTCCATCTACACCTAAAAAATAAATATTAAAAAAAAAATGTTTGGAAACCCTTTTGAAATCTGGTGTAGCTATTATGCAAGATGTACATAGTGTCATTGATCTTTTTGGACATAAGACTTTGGGTTTACCTTTAAATTTGTACATTTTGATGCAGAAACATTTGGTGAATGAAAATAAGTTTAATTGTCTTTGTACTTTTAAAATTTCTAGTTTTAAATAGTAGAAATAAATCATTGAATGAATCACAAGGTGTGATTACTTGCAGAGTAATCACAGGAACCTGTGTGGCTGTTGCTTCCTGTTGCGCCTCTTTGTGGTCAGTGGGGGGATTGAGGGCAGCAGCCTCTGGCCTCTGATGAAGCTGTGGGTGTGTCCTGAAGCTGCAGGGCTGTGGGGGTGCAGGTGTGCTGCCAGCTCCTGCCAGCTCCCTTGGCTTCTGGGGCTCGCTCCTTCCTACCTCTGAAGGAACCCTTGTTTTGAATCTTCCAACGAAGTCTTAATGTAAATATTATGTTTCCCGAGCTTTTGAAAGATAAAAGTACAGCCAGCCTTCTGGATCTTGGTTCAGCATCTGTGAAACCAACCAGTCAAATTGAAAATATTCAGGGAAAGAATGGCCCCCTTGCTGAACACGTGCAGGCCTTTGTTTGGTCTCTGTAGTCCCTAAACAAACAGTATAACAGCTGATTACATAGCACTTACTTTATATTAGGTGTCACAAGTGACATAGAGATGCTTTAAAGCACATGGAAGGGTGTGTGTGAGTACTACTGGATTTCATATAAGGGCTCTAGCATCCTGGGTTCTCATTTCGCTGGGGATTCTAGACCAGCCTCCCACTATCCCAAGGGATTGTCCTCTGGGACCTGGTTTTTTTCTTTATCATTAACAGTGTTTGAGATTGTGCACTGCTAATCTGTGTCTGTAGCTACAGCTTTAATGAAAAGATGTTACTCATACCTGGGTGGCTGGAGTGCAGAGGGGCCCTGCATTCCACATGGGCCTCTCCCTGGCAGATTTTGCCCTGTGAGTGGCAGGCTTTGACTGAATGGCCTCTATCAGCCATGTGCTTATCCACCAGAGAGGCCCTGCTGGTGTATTCCCACCCGAGGCCTCGCCTTTCTTTCCAGCCGCGACATGCAGGCACTTGAGGATTCACCATCTTTCTTCTCTCTTGTACTGGGGTGTGGGAGGGTGTTAGAATTGCATTTCTGACTTGCAGTCATGCAGGGGACCTTTGGACTGAATTATGGTCTTGACTTTTTGAGAATGGATCCCTAGGCAGATTAAGGAGTGGAGGGCAATGGGGTGGCCTCCACCAGGATCGGCTCTGGAGGGACCCCAGTGGGGCGTGGAGATGCTCAGGTGGGAGGTGGGTGTCGGGAGGAGTGGGGGTGGAGGGGTATGTGACAGGAAGTCTGTTGAGCTCCATCCAAGCCTGTGGGTGGAAAGCCTGGGACACCTTTCCTCAGCAGGGACTATGAACCCAGCCCTTGCATGCCTCTGGTATCCTTCCCTTGGCCTGGTCAGCAAGGCCTTGTTTTCAGAGAGCACTGAATGCACAGTGCCCTGGGGCAGCCAGGGTGTGAGGCCTTCACAACCCAGAGCCGCCCAGCACCATCTCAGCAGCCTTCTGCTGGCCAGTGTGGATAGTCCAAGTGGGGACATACCAGTAAAAGGAGCCATAGTGACCTCAGTGTTGATGGGATCTGATTTGCTCTTGTTTCAGAGTACACAGCCCTACTGGAGTTGATTGCAGTCCTCAGCAACGCTGATTCTCCACCATGGAATCGGTGAGTCTGCTGTGTTTCCTGGCCGTCTGTGTGGTAGTCCTTGGTTTGTAAAAAGGAGGAGCACAATACTGAGTCTCCCTGCAGCCTTCTTGGGCTCCATGGGGTATTGTTCAGTGTTCTGGTTTCTGTCCTGAGTTCACTCGGGGTGGTTCAGAATGGCAGTCCCAGGTTTCCTGGGATCAGTGAGTAGCACCCCTGGAGTCACAGTCAGAAGATCGGGGCTAAAAGATCAAACAAGTCAGTAGCCTTGTTTGCAAAAGAAGCTAATTCTTCTAGGCTTCCTTTATCATATCTTGCCAACCCAGATAGTCTGGAGAACCAGTTGTTGCTGTATTACTGTAGTACTTTGCAGGTTGCATTAGTTGTTCACGTGAGGAATAGCTTGGGAGGGAGCAGACAGGCTGTGTTCTGGCTGCTCTGTGCTGCTGGACAGGGCTGTGGCCACTGGGTGTTCCTAGCAGTTGGAGGTTAGGGTGTAGGCCAGTTCACCCTGACACCTGGTAGTGACAGGCACATCTGACTCCATGGAGGCCCACTTTGTCTGGGGTCTGACTCCAGGACAAGGTCCTCCTTGGGCAGCTATGGTGAGGTGACAGATTACTTACCTTCTCTAATGGCTGGGTTGGTGGTTGGAAAGAAGATGCATGGCTTGCTTTGGCTTTTCATTGCCTTGCCAGGGATCTGCTCCTTGTTTTCAGGTTAGTAGTCCAAAAGTAGATGATTGGTTTTGTGGGGTTACTGCTAGCAGATGAGAAGGAATCCTTTCTTATTTCCTCCTGAGTGAATTTTCTTATTCTGAAGCTATTGATCTTTGTCTCAGTCATTGTTGATCAGGCCACTTTGAAATGGGCCCTGGAAGTCTCTTAATTCTTGACAGAAGTGTTTGGGGGGATACTTGATACTAGAGAGCAGTTGGGAGGAGTTGCCTCAATGTGGGGGTGTCGTCGGTGAGGGGGGAAGCTTTTTTTCCTGGCCTGAAGGTGGAACCAGGTGCACAAAAGGAGGAGGGTGGTAGCTGGGAACCCAGTCACCCTCACCTGAGCCACATCTGTGTCTGCAAAGTAGATCTTAATGAATAATGAGAAAAAGCAAATGCTGCTAATCTTAGTGTGAATTTTTGATTATTAATAAGTATTAAGTGAGTCAAACTCACCCTGTATCAGGACTGCTGGCAGAATCCGGGATTGGCCTACTTGGTCTACACTGGGTGGATAGTGAGTGTGATGGTGTGACATGGGGACTTCAAGGCACTTAGTGCCATCTGTCAGGTTTGTGAGCTGTAAATATTTAGTTGGGTTGATTATAACCCTTTTTGGTCCGAGTGTTTGGATGGAGTAAAGATGCACATACTGCCAAGGAGGGAGTCCTGCCTCGCTGCACAGCAGTCAGGCCTTCGATGGACAGTCTCTCGAGGCCTGTCGCCCATGATCTTTCCTATCATGAAAATGCAGGGTTTCTAAAAGACCCCAGTTTTACAGGTTCTCTAGTAATCTTTGGGTTCTTACTAACATTTGTTGCGTTCACTGTGTTCATTTTGACCCTTAAGGTAGAGGGTGAGTGGCTTAGATGAGATGTAAGGTTGTAGGTCTTGCAGGGTCTGATGTGGTGTGACCTGGGTCGTCTGTGTGGACTCTGCAGTGTTCCTGCCTGAGCTATTCCCAGGTCAACTGTGGTGGTCCAGCCGCAGGACCGGGCTACTCTTTGACCATGGGCATACCAGTTCAGTCCTCTGTGTCTCGGTTTGCTGACCATGAAACACCTAGCTAATTTGTTATGAGAATATACGAGCTTTAGCATCCTTAGAGCTAATATCTTCGAGCATAGAACTCTGGTTTGGGCTGGTTGCTACTGCAGTTCTCACTCTCTTAGCAGGGTAGAAGGCCCAAGTGTTTCCAGGGAAGTGATGAGGTCGAAGTAGCCCTTGGTGGGTGTATCTGAGCAGGGAGAGCCAGTGGGCTGAACTCTAGACGGAAGGTTGCCCAGCACTGACCTGAGTCACATAAGGGTACAAAAATTATGCTGAAGTGAAGTGGGCATTTAGAATAATATTTTCAAAAATATTTTTGTGTTTAAAGTGATGTGTCAGGATAATAAAGGCAGTGTTGTTTATGTGGAAGGAAGCTTAGATATCATCTTGTATGTTTTTGATCGAACACCTCTAATTAAAATAGAAGCGTGAGGCTGGGATGGAGCTCAATTAAAGTCTGCTTTCCGTGTACAAACCCCTGGGTGCTGCTTCAGTGCTCCCCCCCCCCCCCACCAATACACACACAGAAAGAAACTTTTCGATTTGCCGAAATGTTGAATTTGTAAGACATGCTGAAGAAGGGCGTGTGTAGCTAGGTCCCAGAGTCCTGAAAGGTTCAGTCTTTGAACAGGCTGTGTGCTCACTGTAGAGAGCAAGTCTCCCTGGCAGCAGAGCCAAGGCCCCTGTGCTTGTAGTTCATTCTGATGACACTGGTGGTCCCTGCCTGGGCAAGGCTGGAGGTGGAGAGGGACAGCAGTGCTGTTCTGGGGACTCTGTCTCTCCACCTGGGATTGAGAGCAGAAGGAGAAGCTGTGCTTCCTGCTCCACTGGAATGGCTGTTTCCCTCTGACCCTGATGCCCAAGCGCACTAGCCCGCTATCAGGTGCTGGTCACTGGCATGGGGGCAATACTGGATTGCAATTGCAGCATGTGAGGGATTTTTAGGCCTTAATGCTCACCTACCTCCTTGTTTAACCTAAGTGTCTCTTGGGATTTCAAAATAGGTGATAAAGTACACTGTGCTTCATCATAAGGAAACACATGAACTAATTTTTCCAACATAAATTACTGTGCTCTTTCGAATGTTCAGTTTTTATAGCAGTTTAGGCTTCCGAGGCATTTTGGGTGCCCAGGTTCCCTTAAACTACATAGAGCCTAGATAACGCTAGATGTCACCAGATTAGACTTGCTCATGTCAAAATGTGTTGGTTTCCCCAGGCATGTTCCGTCTTCCCCAGAGGCCTCTTGACTGATGGGACTTGGGCACACTCCTTCAGTGTCCTTGGCTGCTAGGAGTTGAGAGTGGGAGGGTCTGCAGGCGGGAGACTGCAAGCACTGTGGGTTCTGGCTGACAGTGGTCTTTGCTCTGACTGATTCTCTCAGGCTGGCCTTGAACTTGACATCCTCTGAGTTGCTGGGATGACACCACGCCTGACTCTTCAGTGTCTTTTTATGGCCTCACAGCTTGTTTCATGTTAGGCCTGATGATAGTCCATGTCTGGATGTGCCCTATCCTGTTGCAGGATGTCTTAGGTAACTGGTCAGGGCCTCTTTGGTCTTCCCTGATGGAGATGTGAACAGTGAATAAAACCATACTCCCCTCAGAATGGAACTGTGATCCTTGTGTGAATTGCCTTGGAGAGAGAGTGTTCTTGCAGGTGCTTGTGCACCTTCCTCCCACCCCAAATCTGCCCAGGAAGCACTTGGGATCCTCATCCAGAGACCATTTCTCATAAAAGCTCTCTGTGTGTAAAGCATCATTAAACACTGTAGACTTGCTGGGTGTTGGGGGTGGATGTGTCTCTGAGAGAGGGTGTGCGTCCCTGTACATGGGGGTGCACAGCCAGCTGAGGGCTTTGTGTAGCTGCCTCCTGCCTTCTTAGGCCCTCCTTGCTTGTGCCACTTGCATGCTCTCTGAATTGAGCCTGGTAATGCCCAGCCCAGCTTAGAACACCAGACACTGTTTGTTTGTTACATTCTGTGTTTCATGGCCCTTTTTGGTCACTTTTGATGTGATTGCTGCTCACAGTCCTGGGTTGTGGCCCAAGGCTCCTGCTTTGATTAGTGTGAAGAGCTCACCAGGGCAAGGGCTCCTATCTGGACTATTGGCCAGCTGGGGAGCCTGGGAGCAGGCTGGCCCGCTCTGGGCCACCACCCGCTCCAGATTCCAACTCCGCATCTGTGATGAGGTGAAGGGTAGGCTGGTCAGGGCCTACAGAGGGATGTGGGAAGGTGTCAGAGGCGTTCTTACTATGACACAGGTGGTCCAAATGTGCCTCACTAAGGCACACTATGCTTTTATGCGGGGGTCAGTGGGGCACCTGTCCACAGAGGGCATCTGTCCACCTTTGGTCCTTCTGTCCTCTGTGCCACTGACCGGAATAAAAGGTGCTGGCAGCCAGATGGCTGCTGCCATTTGAGGGAGGAACTTAGATTTCCTTTATGAACATTTTCCCTCTCTCCTCATACAGCCATTGGCATTTACTGTGGAATCCGAGGCATTGGACACACTGAGGGTCTTGTCACAAGTGAGGTCCAGTTGCTGCATGCTTTAGTCTCACATCCTTGGTTCCTAGGCCACAGAGTCTCAAGACCTCTTTATATGTTACACATGGAGGATCTCAGAGGACGTTTGGTTATGAAAGTGTCTGTCATGGTTGTCAAGCTGCCCCTGGAAGATTTGTAGAATACTTAGGTAGTAATTCCATTTTAAAACAGGGTTAATAACTCCATTGAACATTATTATAAGTAGTTAAAATTAACTGTTTTCAGCCTGTACTTCAGTGATCAGGGAGACTAAGGTAGAAGGATTGCACATTCAAGCCAGCCTCATAAACTTAGATTCTATCCTAAAGTTTTCAAAAATCATGTAGCTCAGTGGTATAGTGCTTGCCTATCATGTGCAAGGCCCTTGGCAGCTTAGTCCATAATACTGCCAAAAATAAATTCATACATAAGTAAGCAAAAACAAAAATAATTATATTGAAAAACCAAAAAGTTAGTGATTAGAGGGCCATTGTTTAAAACAAATCCTATCAACATGTGGCTCTATAGAAGATGGCTGCATTCTCACATCATCTTCTGTACTTGAGTCTGTTGCAGTGAGTTTTGTTTGAAGTACACAAATGAAATATCAAATGAAGTGCACAAATGAAATGGAAGAGTATTTTAATAGTTTTTGAAGATCTTCTCTGATCCTCAGCACTGATCCACCAGGACTGTGCAAGTGTCCATGCTGTGCTTGCACCTCAGG